GTCGCGTGGTCAGGCCAGTCCGTGACACAGTGCTTCCTGGGAGGAGACAGGATCCGTCACCTACCCCCACAACATGGCGGCACCGCGTCCCTCCAACTCATGTGACCTTCACTTGTGGGTTTTGTTTCGTTTGGACTAATTCTTTTACTGTTGAATATTTGGAATTCATAAGTCATTTTATCTTAAAGTGCAACATGTGGGTAGTTTGTTCTCAGCATAGCCAAAACCCTGTATTGTAAAATAAATTTTAAAAAAGTTTCTCAAAACCTGGAGTTACCATGGTGCCTTTCTCAGCTGGGAGGCAGCCGTCTGGAGACCAAGGAGAGAAGCCTTGGAAGGAACTGAACCTGCCAATGGTTTGACGTTGACCGGAACTGAGAGGCAACACACGCCTGTTTTCCAAGCTGCCCTGCCTGTGGTGTGGCTGTGACAGCCCCAGCACACTAACACAGCCATCTGCGATCCTGACAGTGTTCTGCCTTTGCAGTGGGAGGGAATAATTCTATCGTTGCTTTGATAGACTGTTTTGGATGTACTTTCTCCAATTAAAAAAACAGAAGTATAATTACTGCCAGGCATTTAATTGATTTATTTAGCAAGTATTCAACAGAAGATGCAGTTCTAGTAGGGTAATCAATATGTCATTTTCTTAAAAAAAATTTATTTGAAAGAGACAGAGAGAGGATAGAATGCTTCCATCTGCTGGTTCAGTCCCCAAATGGCCACAGTGGCCAGGGCTGGGCCAGGCAGAGCCAGGAGCTTCGTCTGAGTCTCCCAAAAGGGTGTCAGAGGCCCAAGCATTTGCGCCATCTTATGCTGCTTCCCAAGGCCATTAGAAGGAGACTGGGTTGAAAGCGGAGCAGCCAGGCCGTGAACTGGTGCCCACATGGGATGCCGGCATCATGCAGTGGCTTTGCCCACTGTGCCACAACGACAGTTCCATTGTGTCGTTTTTAAGAAAAGGAATGCTACATTTCTCCAGTATTGATTTGTTTTCAACCAATGGATAACCCTCCAAAGAAAATGGACTGAACACATGCCTTTAAACTAAGCAGTGTAAAACTCTGTGGTTTTAAGTTAAACAGCTCTCCTTCTCCACTCATTCCTCTTACACCATTCACATCTCAACTAAAAGATCCAAACCGGGTCCTCTCACCTCCCTGGAGGAAAGCACGTGCGTTGGAAAGGTGCTGACATTGGAAACTTTCGACAGCTCTGTAGTTACTTTACTGGAATTGATACAAATGCAAGTGTCTAAGCTAGCTTAGTTCTTTGGAGAGACGCATACTGCAAGTGATTTCTTTTTAATAGCAAATATGATTTCAGGACTTAGTGATAATATTTGTGGATAGCTTCAACAAACACAATTGTCACTAAAATGCTCAGTGCTTTATACTCAAACATGGTTAAACAGCGCGTTACCTATACATATGGTGTTTGGACATATTTTGACAGAATACTGAAACATATTTTTGTTTTAGTAGTTGATTGTAAATGTAATTAAATCTTTTCCAACATATTAATAAGTACACATCGCAAACTCTGGGGAGAGCATTATGTAAGTGTTTATAATTAAAATCCAAATCCAAGTGCCAGAGAGTACAAGGAAAACTAGGCACAGGTCCCCGGGACAGACCCGCCAGCAAATGCGGGCTCCTAAAAAGCCCCTCCGTGTGCTGTGTTGGAAAGAAGTAATATGAGTTTAAGGGTGCAACTAAGAGTATCGATTTTAAAATTTCAGCAGACAGAAATCCATACAATTCTTAGACATACCGGACAGCCTCAAAATATGTTAATTAAGAAGTGTGTTTGCATTGCCTTTTGCTAAAATGAATCAATAAAAACAAGCGCTGTTTAACCCCAGAAAATACACACAAATATTTTGCACGTGTGGAGGTTCAGCAGTTTTACTCTGGAGCTTAAGGAACTGTTTAAAACATAGCCTCGGCCTGCGCGGTGGCTCACTTGGATAATCCACTGCCTGTGGTACCAGCACCCCGGGTTCTAGTCCCGACTGCTCCTCTTCCAGTCCAACTCTCTGCTGTGGCCCGGGAAGGCAGTGGAGGATGGCCCAAGTGCTTGGGACCTGCACCCGCATGGGAGACCAGGAGGAAGCACCTGGCTCCTGGCTTTGGATCAGTGCAGTGCCGGCTGTGGTGGCCATTAGAGGGGTGAACCAACAGAAGGAAGACCTTTCTCTTTGTCTCTCCCTCTCTCACTAACTCTGCCTGGCAAAACAAACAAACAAACAAACAAACAAAAAAAAAAAACAAAAAAACAAAAACCAACCACACAGCCTCCATCAATAACTCGAGGAGGGTACCCTCCAGCCGTGTTACCTGCTGCAGAGGCCTGCTGTCAAGTAGCAGGTGGTGCGGGAGCCTGGACTCCCTGCCCCCACCACCCCCTCCAGGGATGCTGGGGCAGAGCACTAGGGAACGCTTGCTCCACTGTGGCCTGAGAACTCGCGTGACAATGACTTGCTGTGGGTTTTGTTGCTGTTTGTTTCATTTTGTTTTTCAGTGTTGCATATTGGGAATTCATAATCCCTTTTATCTTTTTTAAAAGATTTATTTATTCATTTGAATGGCAGAGTTACAGAGAGAGAGAAACAGAGGCAGAGGCAGAGAGAGGGTCTTCCATCTGCCGGTTCACTTCCCAGTTGGCTGCAATGGCCGGAGCTGCACCCATCCGAAGCCAGGAGCCAGGAGCTAGGAGCTTCTTTCAGGTTTCCCATGCGGGTGCAGGGGCCCAAGGACTTGGGCCATCTTCTGCTGCTTTCCCCGGGCCCCAGCAGAGAGCTGGATCAGAAGTGGAGCAGCCAAGACTTGAGCCAGCGCCCATATGGGATGCCGGCACTGCAGGCCATGGCTTTACCGGCTGTGCCACAGCACTGGCCCTAATCCGTTCTTACGGTGCAGTTTATACATAGCATAGCCAAAACCCTATGTTGTGTAAAAAATAAATAAATAAAAAAATAAAAGGCTCTTGTACACGCAAGTTGAAGTTGCCACGGTGCCTTTCAGCTACTGGGAATGTGGGAAACCGCCTATAAACTATTGTTGTCAAGGCTCTTAGGCAACGTAATTGACAAAGCAAAGGCAGACAAAGCCGTGTGGGTGGTGACGTTGTCCCAACAGGGCTGTCACCCGCAATACTTGTGTGCTGTGTGTGGTAGAAACCAGGTGCCCGTCCCCCGGGGTGCCCCCATCTCCCTCCACTTTTCTCCCTTCCAGCCACCAAGGAGCCTTAACGGATACACTCGGCTGCGACGGGGTCTAGCCCTTTCTCGGGGGGCCTCACCATTAGGGACGAACCCCTCCTCTTCTCACACTGGCCAGGACAGCCGTGCCCCTGAACACAGCATGGATGGGGGCTGACCCGGTGCCTGCATGGGCTGGGTCCCTCGTCTGGGTGCCTGTGTGGGCTGGGTCCACTCTCCTGGTGCTGTCAGATTGCAAACACAATGCTGCTTGTTTTGAGACACCCGGGAAGACACTTCCATTCTCCCAGGAAGTAATGCCCGAGGACTATGTGAGTGCCCAGTTGGAGCCCAACACGAGGGAGGGAGACGTGAGCGTCAGTCACCCGGCATCACTGAGGGTACAGGAAGTGAGAGGAGAGGAGCGGGTCTTCAGAGAGCAAGCCGGGATGGCGAGCGTAGGTTGTCATGGTAAGGACTCCACGCCACTGGACTCCAAGCATCACATCTGGTCAGCTGCTTTAGAGGGGAGAGAACCCAGGGTAGGGTTGGGAGTTTAGGGACCCTGTGGCAGTGGCTCCCTCTCAAGTCAGGCTTAGAAACTCGGGGTTCAGGGGCAGAGAGAGCACAGGTGTCTGCTTCCCACTGGCAGCTGGGCACACAGGTACTGCTTCCTGGGCCCCACAGGAGGGGTGTTCCCTGCCTGGGGGAGAGAGACCAGGCTGATGAGCTGTTGGCCCTATCGTTGATTGCTTCCTCTGCTGATTGAGCTGTTCTTACTCCCCTGGTGCCCCTAGGACACCAGGAACAAGCAGACTCCCAACAGCGTCCTCAGTTGATCCATGTGGCCAGGATGCCTTCCTCACAAGGAAGACGAGGCCAGGAGGCAGGAGAAGGAGTACCTGGGGGAGGAGGGCGAGCTTTCTTGGAGTGTGATGAGGCTTCCTCAAGTGACCGGCTTTTGTGCTGATCCAAGCAGGAGGATTGGGGGGAACACATCCTGGGTAGAGAGGACAGCGCAGACAAAAGCTCAGAGCTGCTGCAAAAGCTTGGTGTGTGAGAACAGCCGGCAAGGCCAGGTGGGCTGCAGCCAGACGCGCAACAGAGGAGAGCGTGGTGGCAGGGGAGGGCCGGGCTGTAGGGACCGGGCCCCATCCGCCATGTCCAAGACCCCGCATCTTGGTATTGGTGCAGTGGGATCCAAGGTAGCCTCAGTTGAAGAAGTGGGTTGGCTAGGCTGTGCATGAAAGACATCCTTTTACTGTTACTGGAGACCGACTGGCAGGAGGGCAGGGGAAGGTGCAAGTGACTCGGACTGGAAGGGGCGTCCAGTTGCCCGGATGAGGGACCGCTGTGGTGTGAGCTAGGCTGGGATGGAGAGAGGTGAGGCTGGACCAGAGACCTTGTACCTTGGTGGGAAACTCGACTGGATGTTTTTGTGGATCCGACGGAGCTGATGAGGGAGAAGGAGGCTTGGCGGGTGGCTGCACATCTGGGACGTGAGCAGGTGGGCGAGGAAGGGGCCCCTTGTGGAGGCAAAGAAGATGAAGGAGAGAGTGGGTGGGGCTGAGGGTGCTGAGGGATCAAGAAGGGTGCCAGGCAGAGCAGCAGAACGGCCGTGATGGTGCCACGTGGGAAGGTGTCGTGTCCCAGCCCCTGCCCTGGTCTTCTGCGCTTGGAGTCTCTGCTCCCAGAACGGGCTCTCCTCTCTCTGCCGAGCAGGCCCCCGGAGCACATCCAGATGTTGGCGAGGCAAAGCAAGATGTTTTCCGACTGACTTTCCTTGTTTATCTTTCAGAACCATCCAGAAGTGTTGACTGCTCGCATACAACTGGAAAGCAAAGAACTGATCATAAATCTGGAAAGAAACGCGTAAGTGTTCGCTCCTGCTTAGGGCAGGATGGGGGAAACTTCAGACGGCAGGGACTGAAACGTGCTGTGTCATCTGTGTTGGCATCTGCAGACACAGAGGCGAATGCATGGATCTGTAATCCAGATTTGGAGTTGAGGCTGGAATTAGCTTCAAGAATTATCCACTGGGAAAATAAAGACTGTTATCTTTCCAAGAAAGAACTTGATAACTCAGCAGGTTTCTTTTTTTTGTTTTTTCATGGTTCTGCTGTTTCTTTTTGTCAGAGCCTGATTTTTCGAGGAGAGAATTGAATCATCTGTTCTGTCCAAATAGCGGTGTTCCATAGTTAATTGACTTTCGACAATTCCTGGGTTATATAAGAGGAAATGACTTCAAATGGATAGAAGTTCCTTTCTCCTTGAGAAATACCAAGAGTTTATTTTACCTTTCGAAGCTTGTCTCCAGTGGTGTTAACTATTTATCTTTTTATATTAAAATGTGGCCCCTTTTGGGAAAAATTGCATAAATTTTTAGACAATGGTCTTACATTTTTTTTTCTGGAGGATGTAGGTGTAGGGACAATGCTTTGTGTGCCTGAAGGCGGGAGTGGAAGTGACTGGCCCCATGCCATTCCTTACGTTCAGGTGATCACGTGGAGGCTGCAAATCCCAAAGCCCTTCGTGTCCTGTCCGGCAGTGGCAGAGCTGAGCTGCTGGAAGTGGCACACTGTGCTGGCGCTGTCAATCAGCTCCCGGGGGCTGCTGGACGTGCCGCTGCCGCCTGTCACTCGTCTCTAAGATGCCGATCTTGTTGGACTGACGGCTGAGACAGGCAGCCTTGGTGGCGTGAGTCCCACCATGACGAGGAGTCAGAAACCTGGCTCTGTGTCTCCGCATGCGCACGTCTTCCGTGCTTCGGCGCGTGGGCTGGAGGGGCTAGGGCAGTCAGACCAGGGGGATCAGCGGCAGCCAGTCCCAGCATTCGGAATCTGTTGGCACGGCTTATTGCAACTCAGTCCTCCCGGGATCCCTGGGTACTGGGTGTCCTTGGATGCCGAGGTTCTCGGGCACTCAGGTCCCTTTTGTGAGGTGGCATGGTGTCACCCAGGACCTGCGCCCCCTCCTGCCTGCTTCCACCATCTCTGAACGACTTACAGTACTCCCATGGGTGACTGCTCTGTAGGTGCCACTAGACGCTGTCGTTCGAGGAATCTTGTGAAGGGAAAAGCTGTGCGTGTTCAGTACAGATGACGAGTCTTAAAAGTAAGCCATCTCGGTGCACGGCTGGCTGAATCCACAGGTGTGAAAGCTGGGGGGGCGGAGCGCCCGGGGGCCCCAGAGCCTGGCTGTCTCTCTAATGTGCTTTGTCCTCACCGGTAAGTGAGAAAAGCCTGGTTAGCAGCACACGAGTACGAGGCCTTTGGCTTTTCCTGCGATTGGATCTGAACGCCAAGGTCCAGGCGCCTTTATCGGGAACGAGTCTCTGAGCAGGAAGGTGTGTTTTGCTTAGGAAAGAAAACGCTGTCCTGGTCCTGTTCTCCCCTGCACCAGAGAACAGGGTGGGACACCTCAGTTGCTGTACCTGCCTCTGTCCGGCGCTGAAACTCCCTCAGTGGAGGAAACTGAGTGTTGCCTAAGAGAGGGGAAGGAGAAAGCCTTCCTGTGGGCTGTGCTTCCCCGGCGGGGCTCTGCGGATTGGCAGCTGGACTGGGCGTGGGCGGCCAAGGCTCCAGGCTGCTGCAGGATCCCGCTGGGTGGAGGGAGGGAGCTGGAGTTCTGACTGCAGGTCACAGGGCAGGGGTAGACTTAATAAAAGCCTTGGGCTATTTGTTTTGATTATAAAAGGAGTTCGGCTTGTGCAGAGAAGTGAGCACTGGAGAGAAATAAAGAACAAAGCTCCCAGCTTATGCGTTTGGACTCGAAGGCGCCACTCTGCTTGCTGATTGGTGGCTGCTGATACGAGTCGGGTTGTTTGGCTATGAGTAAGGCTCTGCTTTCTCATCTTAGTGACACTGAGTCTGTGACCTTTTACTTCTGACCTCATTTGGCTTTACGGTGGGACACACTTTCCCACGGGGAATTAATGTGGTAGGGCCCACCTGGGTCTCTGAGTCTGTGGGGTGGGACAGTGGCCCTGTGCGTGTTTTCCCCTGAAAACGCCTTCCCTTCCACGCCTGCAGACGATATGACACACACGGACAGCAGACACTGGCCAGTTAGGAGAAGGCAGCTCTGTAAGAGGTGCCACCATTCGCTTCCTTCCCCAGGGCCCTCATAAGATAATCTCAAAATGAGAGAATGAAAACGTAAAACCATCTCTTCTCAGTGTCATTCTCTCTTCCCACCTGTCAAGCTATATTTTAGAAGATTTATAGAGTATTTAACGTAGTCCTATGATAGTCCTGAGCTTGATTTTAATTAGGCCGCTATCAATTTTAGAGATTCTATTTTGCTAAACACAACATTTTTGTGAAGAGAGCCCACCAATATTAGTATTTTTGTAAGGTATTTCCCTCCCAAATGTAAATATAACAGTTTGTTGAAAGAAGTTTCGTCTGTCTTCTCTTTATTTATTTTTTTAAATTTATTTGACAGGTAGAGATACAGACAGTGAGAGAGAGAGAGACATAGAGAAAGGTTCTCCTTCTGTTGATTCACTCCCCAAATGGCCACCACGGCAGGCGCTGCACCAATCCGAAGCCAGGAGCCAGGTGCTTCCCCCTGGTCTCCCTTGCAGGTGCAGGGCCCAAGCACTTGGGCCATCCTCCACTGCCCTCCCGGGCCACAGCAGAGAGCTGGAATGGAAGAGGAGCAACCAGGACTAGAACCTGGCACCCATATGGGATGCCGGTGCTGCAGGTGGAGGATTAACCAAGTGAACATGGTGCCGGCCCCTCGTTTCTCTTCTAAATGGCTGTGAGTTGGAGGCGATGAATACAGAAGCATCTACACCTTGCTAAGTGGAGTGAGATGCCTTGTACTTTAGGGCTTTCCCTGCAGAAGGTGATCGCTCACCGGAGTGCACTGGAATTCCTGATTTGCATCACCTTTGACGCCGTAGATACGACGCGGGGAGTTTGTCCAGAGGAACCTCTGAGCAGACAGAGATGGAGCTGTCAGCAGGGTCACTTAGACGTTCAGCAGCCGTCCGGGAAAGGGCCTGCGACTCGGAAGCCAGCTGCGTGGTGGCCTCCTGCAGCCGCTCCAGGCTGGGAATCGGCCCTCTTCTGGGCGTGGTCACTTCTGAGTATTTTACCTAAAGTACCAGGATCGGCGATTGAACCAATAAATTATGGCTCAGCTGTGAAAGCGCGGTCAGCAATGATGGGAACCTTTACTGCTGTAAAAATTCACGGCATAATCAATGCAGAGAGCATGCTATAAAGTTGTTTACGTGACATTCAATTTTTATTTTAAAATTATGCACATGGCCTGCGTCTCTGAGTAGGAAGAGTGAGGGAGATATTTACTGTGTTGGCTCAGTGTTTTACTACAAAAACATAACATTTTAAAAATCTGGGTGAAAGGCATTTTATTTTGAGGGGCAAAAAACTGTTGTAAAAACTTGATAATAGTTGAAAGGAATGTTAAAGTATTTATGATGAGAAGAAAAGGGGGAAAGACCTATAAAAGGATGGAAAAAAATCCTCTCGTTGATGTTGTCTTTCGATGTCCAGGAGTGTGCTTGAGTTGCAAAGTGCAGACAGATCACAAGTGAAGGGGCCGGTGCTGTGGCACAGCAAGAAAAGCCACCGCCTACAGTGCCGGCATCCCACATGGGCACCAGTTCTAGTCCCGGCTGCTCCACTTCCGATCCAGCTCCTTGCCAATGAGCCTGGGAAAGCAGCAGAGGATGGCCCAAGTCCTTGGGCCCCTGCACCCACGTGGGAGACCTGGAAGAAGCTCCTGGCTCCTGGGTTTGTCCTGGTCCAGCCCTGGCTGCTGTTGCCATTTGGGGAGTGAACCAGGCGATAGAAGATCTCTCTCCCTCTCTCCCCCTTCCCCCGCCCTCCATAAGTCTGGCTTTCAAAAAACTAAAACGTCTTAAAAAAATCAGGACCCAAGTCAAAGTGGCCATGGTCCTGAGATCCTGACAGCTGCAGCCCACAGCCGGCACTGATCCCCTCCTCACAAGCTCCTCCACGGGGCACCAGTTCTTCCTGGAATTGCGCTGAGAGCTGTTTCAGGGAGTATAGCATCCCTAGTTTGTACAAAGACCGGATGCTGCTCACTTAAAATCTGTGCTTGTGTAGCCGGAATTAAATATTTAGGTGCTTCCCCCGAGAAACGTTTTTCACATCACTGCTGTCTGCCTGTGGAGCCACAGGGGCCTGGGTGGTAGCAGCCATCGCTCCGCGGGCTCCCCGGGGGCCTGGGTGGTAACGTCCATCACTCCGCGGGCTCCCTGGGGGCCTGGGTGGTAATGTCCATTGCTCTGTGGGCTCCCTGGGGGCCTGGGTGGTAGCAGCCATCACTCCGCGGGCTCCCCGGGGGCCTGGGTGGTAACGCCCATCGCTCCGCGGGCTCCCCGTGGACTCTCGGGCCATTCCTCCAGCAGGTGCTCTTGAAACTGCATCTTTGACCAAGATGCTTTATGGGCCAGGCTGGCCAGCCTGGACGCCCATTCTTCCAGTTCAGGCTAATGGGGGACGATGGCGGCGGATCCCACTCCCTCCACTTCTTGACCCAGTGAGCGGTCTCTTCCAGCTGCTCCATTGCTGGCGGAAGGCAGTTGCCATGAGAAGCGCAGAGCAAGCTGACCTTGTCTGGGGTGTCTTTGGGTGTCTCTGGGCTGGAACTTCGGCATCGACATTGGTCTGGAACAATTCCAGGCATCTCTTAAGATACAACTTCCATTAGGGTTCGTCCTAGATTAAGAGCGGAAGCTTTCAATTGTCAGACACAGGTGTGAACGTTTGGGAAGGCACTTAGGTTGGGTCACCTCTCAGAGCAGGTGGTGGTGCCCGGCATGGGGACAGAGCCGGCGGGGAGACCAGCATCGGCGGGCGGTGAACCTTCTG